GGGGTGTGAGAACAGCTTTCATTTCCCCGAAGTCCTTTTCACTAAGGTTCACTCCGCAAAGCGATGCACTTCCTCCCCCTTGTACGATGCCTTCATATTTTCAGCTGAAAATCCTAACGACCTACAATCCTGATCTCCTATACCCTTCTACTCTAATCTCCGAACAAAGACTATGAACGCTGCCTAAGGCGATGCCCACTGTCGACGACTCAAATAGGCTATCGACTCGAACAAAACCTTCGAAGCAGGGTCACTCCTATCGTTGCTACTTTTCGAAAAGTTTTTACGACCTCCCCTCCTTCAGAAAAAGTTTCCTACGACCCCCCCCCCCTCCCTTTCCGACCCACCTCATATCTCCATTTACCCTCAAATCACCTTTATCGCATGCCCTCCACAATTATTCGCCAGATCAGAATCCCTTTAGTGCCGCAAACTACTGAACACCAAACCGCTCGTATGGCATGTGAATTCTCCATATACTCGACAATCTGACTTATAACTCCTCTCCCAACCACCAACACCAGTTCCCCTCTAACGATCCATTAACACATTGGAGACCGAAGCAATTCCTTGGGTGTTCCCGAAAATTGCGTCCTAATGCTGAAACGCTTCCATACGGTGTACATACCAAATCAATGAGAACACAATGCGGAAACTGCTGAAACATCATTTGTCTCGTACAAATGCTTAGTGGCTGCAAACCAAGCAAAAAACTTCCCTTCCAGTCAAGGAGAAGTCCGCGAAGCCCTGGGAATTCCAATTTTCTATATCGAAGCCATGAATGAGGTTGAACACAAATGCCTTTCTGCTAGAAATTGTACAATTGTCCTAGCTCACTGCTCATAAAAAGACAGCTTTCTACATCAAAAAGAACAAGCTTAACCTTGAAGAAGCAATTCCAAGCTTCCCTTCTGTAAAACTTTCACTGTGAAAGATGTTCAAAGAACGTGGCCATCGTAAGTACTGACAATGTATTCGTGTTAATGTAGCAGTGCTACAAATATGAAATCTGCGTTAAGGAATTAACTTTTAGGGGTGTCGCAGAGCAGCGAAACTGTCGCCAATGTGTTAAGAATGGGCGTGTGACGGTAGTGTATAGCCTTAGGTTGTGAATTCAACTTCAACACGTTCCTATCATCTTCTCTATCGGTCTATATGCTAACTAATCTCTCATTTGGTGACCTAGTGGATTTGAATCAAGTTGTGCCTTTCAACGAAACACTCCTGTTCCTTAATTCAGGAGGTTCGAGTAGCTTAAGTTTAGTCATTTAGACAGAAATCGAATGGAAAGTCTGTTGGTTTAATGTTGTTGGGGGAAGCGATACTTGCTCACACTAATCATTCCAAAATTGGAAAGAACAGTAACGAGTGGAATGATTCCAACTGGTCACTGTCACCACCTGGTCACTAAATGGGAAACTCGTTCACATTGAGCATTGACGTTACTCTAACCATAATCTTTAGGCGAAAATTCGACTCGTTTGCTTCGCAATTGTACGGCAATGAGAGCAATTTAAGATAAAGCCGAAAGCGAAAAAGAATTCTCTTTGCGTCAATTCAAGCGCGCCCCTGCTGTTACTTGCGGTCGTAACAATTGAATGAACGACATGTCCAACAAATGCAACAACGCAATTGCACGAGCGTAGGGCGGTAGTTATACATGACATCAGCCAGAGGTTTTTTAGGCCCTGTTCAGAGATGTCCGCTTACGCGAAAAAACGCATAGGCGAAATAATACGAAATATGTATCGACTGAACGAAGACGCACAGGCGAATCGTGAAGTGGGAGGATCGACGGTGCTGATGAACATACGCATCGACTTCCGAAGCTTCGCACACGCGATTTTCCGCCCGTCCGTTTTTCACACTCGATACATATCAAACTCTTGACTGAAATTCGCCTACTCCGGGCGTTTCGCTGACGCGTTTCCCACTTTCTCAGTCGATGCGTATCTAAATCTCGGCGG